TCTCGGATCTTCATGAATGATCTAGTTTGTTTTATTTTTACGAAAACAGTGCACTCTAGGAAAAAACACAAGAGCAAATTGATATTAAAATTCGACAAATGGCGCCTTTCGAAAAAATACAATGGCGTACTATTTTTATTTGGAAAAATAATGCCACTAATCTTCTGTATCTCTGTTAATTTTAAATAAGGACTTTTGAATGTGGACAATATTTACATACCAAATTTTAGTTTATCTCTGTTGACGGTTTTGAAGATATTAAAAAAATTGGTTTTTGTTTTTAAACTTCAACACCCCACCCCGTATCTGTTTAATGCAGCCGTCAAGGAAAAAAATCTTGCACAGAATACCGTTGGTCCTGTGTATGATGTTTCATTTATGTCACCACTTGTGAATCACCCTGTATAATCTCTGCATGCCCGCAACTTATCATATTAAAACATTTCATTCCAGGGCCGTCATTATGTGTAAAGTTAAATATATTTATAAATTGTATCTTTGGAGTTAAAGGAATGATTTATAATCCACGTTTGTGTAGTCACATGGCTTTTTTCATTTAACTGCTATTTTGCAGATTTTTTTTTAATTTGTGCCCTTTTTCAGCCGTTTTTTTTTTCAGCAGTCTGCACCAACTATCGAAGTTTACAAGAAATGAAAACCTCAGAAGCTAAGGACCAACCTATCAAAACTAAGTTTACATGGATGTCTCTCGTTAGTTAAGCATCGTTCTTCTTGAGTCGTCAGGCAGTGGTAGCCTCCACACCTAACGTTAGAGCAGATAGTTGTTGTTAGTCTTGTCTCTCATGCGTCCACAGTCATCAAGCTAGTACCATCAATGCCTGTATATGAAGCGCTCGTCGACAAATGTGGATGGAATTTACCATGCTGAGCAGATGAAAAGATTACTAATACGTCACAACGTTGGGGCGGGAACCAGTCTTGTGGGACACCTCCCTCTATATTGTAGGGTGAAAAAGAAAACTTTAAATTACGGTGCACAACTTATCACAAGAAGTGAAGCCATTTTGCATTGTGCCACATTTGCAGAGCCCACCTGGGAGGCCACAACCATGTGAGCATCACCATATGACAAGATGAGGTCAAGACGGAGCTCCCAGTGCAGTGAGATTAGGAAGAGTTTGGATCTCAAACCGACAGTACTGTTAATACCAAAGTTTTAATCATGAAACCTCCTACACAGTGCCCTAAAAGTTCATCAGCTAGGTACCAACTACCAGGTTTTATGAGTTACTTCGTGAGATTTGCAAAGCAAGAGTTTACATACAATTCGCATTTCGCTATGATATACTTACTGACAATAGAAGTGTTGTTTTTTGCCAACATAATGACTATATTGAAAGAGTGCTGTGGAAACAATGTCAACGATTTATCTTTGTTTTTGTTTACATTTGTGAAAACTTTATCTCTTAGTTTTTGTGAATAAAGCAATTTCCCACCATAGATAAGGTATTACAGGAGGTTAATAGTGATGAAGACCTACCTACTTTCAAAAGGATCAGATTCTATAGTTTACTCAACGAACTTCATTTTGAGAATACAAAACGGGGTAGAAATAGCATTTTAATGGACAGCCAATAGACTATTTTATGGAGAAGACATTATTTAAGATCGTAAAAGAAATACCGCTGACTCTACAATTAATTAAATCAGCAAGGACTAACCACTGGCCTAAAGAATCCGTCAGGTACGATTATCTAACCAATTCGTCATTCGTGTTGTGAAAATGATATCAAGTAGACTGAATCTATGAGCCCACGCTGAAAACTTAGCTACACTAAACTTAGCTGTATCTGTAGATTTGGCACCAACACCTGCTAGGATACTATGCTTGAATTGTTATAAGTGTTTTTGAATACTATTTGAAATAATTATTTCCAGGAGAAGGACAACGATTTGTTATCTGTCACATTGTCAGTGAAGATGACCATTTGAGTCAAAGAAAATGACCAACTACCATGAAGAAATGGACGGTAGTTCATTTGAACGATGGTTTAATGAAACGCTCCCAAAGCTTGATGACAATGCCGCCATTGTACTTAATAATGCTGCATACCACACTAGAAAACTAGAAAAAATTCTCGCAATTTCTACAATAAAGGCAGAAATTCAACAATGGCTCCTATCAAATGACATTAGTTTCAATGGAAATATGGTCAAAGCATAACTTATCCATTTAGTCATGTAGCAGACATATAAACATAATCTTAATGTTATAGACGATATTTAATTAAATGACATTGAAATGATTTGGACAAATATAAAAGACTATGTGCCTTCAAACAATATAACATTCAAATTTTCTGACGTTAAAAATTTGTTTTATCAAGCTGTTAACAGAGTGGGAAGATTGCATCCGTCACGTACAAGAGACAGTCGAAATAAAGATGTGAGATCTGTACAATATGATCGATGTTCAAAATGAACACGTAATTTTTTAATATTAACCATTCGGACGATGACTCAAGTAGTTTCAGCGAACAAAGGATTGTGAAAAGTATGTGCATTTTTTTTCTCTAAAAATAATCATTAATTTGGTTAGATTATTCCAAGACCATTGAGAAAAATACGTACCTGTACAATATAGTTTTTGGGCACGTTGTGTTTTGTCTGGGCGTAGATGGACTACGAATGGGGTATAGCCACGATATACATACACTGAAGATATTGCGCATGCGGGCGGAGCTCCGTGACGTCACCCGGAGAGTTGTCGGCTCGTGGTTATCAGCGGCAGGATTGTCGTAACGTTACTGCAGTTCACGTGTATCGTGGTTAATACTATATAGTGCAATTTGTTGGTGTTTTGTGGTAGTTTTGTGACCTGTTCTATTAGTTATATATACTTTATATAGCCTGTGTGGTTGATAAATCGTTAAAAATGCGGTGTGCTGTAATTCCGACAACCAGTCTAAACGAAATCCCTGTAAAGACATGAAGTTCTACAGATTTCCTCAAGACCCAAACATTAGCAAAACATGGCTACATCATACAAAATGAAAAATCAAAGTCAATGTAAAAAGCGCTAGGGTTTGCTTGAAGCACTTTTGTGAAAGTGCCTATAAGGTCAATTTGAAACATACCCTTTTTTGTTACACCCCTAAAAGATATCGCGCTCTAAAAGACGATGTCATTAATATGTAAGATTTACCCAAGTCTCTATCATCACCTGGACCATCTACATCTATTGATGGGGAAAAGCGGAAAAGTGCTTACGAAAAAAGGCAAAGGGCTCAACTTATCCTCTAGAGCTTAAGTATATAATAAGGTCGTATATTTTGGGGCAAAACGAAGGCGCATACTCAGAGTATTGGAGCGTAGAGGAAGAGGATACTCCGGACATTCCACTAACCGCATCGTTAATGAATAAATAGAATGCTTCTGAAGTATCAGCTGACTATAACGAGGAAGTTTTAGTGGAAGAAATGGATGAGCTCGAGTATGAGCTGAAAAATTTGGCCTGCTTTGTTTGCCATAAATTGCAGGATGAGAGGTTGAAAAGTTCCTTAAACGAAACTTATTCCTGGATAAACCATCTTAATGAGAGTGGATTATCAAAAGCTTCCACAGCTTTCATGAATCAAATTTTTAGGTATAATGTTCATCAACGACATATCCGTAACACATTCGCTTTAACAGTACCACTTCATAGTTCATCTATTTTTAACAGGTGCTCCTCATAGAATGCATGCATGTTGTACAATAGCTTAGATTACAGAACAAAAAGCCTGCCGCTGTATAGTTTTAAAAAACACTTAAAAGCTCTTCTGCTCGATGATGCGTCTTAAAGGTGTTTTTCTCCAGCATTATATTTTTAAGCTAATTTTTGTTTAGGTTGTAATTGGTTACATGGACATTTTCCTCCTTTTATTTTCTTTACAGCTGTACTTTTTTACCATCTATTATTCTTATGCAGTAAATGGTTAAGTGTAAGAATAGCTGTCATAGCTAAACTTAGCCATTAAGCTGCTCACTAATCTAATTATAGATAATAATATATGCATTATCTGTAATTTGTTTTTTTTTAAAAAGACGGTTTATTATTATTATTATAAATTGAGTATCTTAATAAGGTGTTTACTACATTCAATGGGGACGGAATAGTGACAGACAAGCAAAATTTTATAGGCGAACTTCTGTTGAAGAGCAGCAACATTGACTGTCCTGAAAGAGCTAGGAAACTATTTTTCAGGTCACGGATGTTCTTCCGGATTAAAGAACTGAGTACAAGTTTGAAAGACCAGAAAAATTGTGAACGAAAATGGAGAAGAATTGTGGCTTAGACTACGTCATTGCCATTTATTGTTATACTGTCAGATTACTGCAAAAAGATGATTACTCCACTTTTCTACTTTTCGAGCTGCGTACATTTTCACACTTGCATGTAGCTAGTACTTAGGATCTTCTGTGAAATAAGGATGAATAAATGTAGTGCAGTATTTATGTCATGAGCATGTTAATTCTGCTCCACAGAACATACTAAAAATTAGGTAATGTAGAAATATCTTGTTTTTACAGTAAAGTGACGATACACGCTCTATTGTGGAGCTAGAAAGCCGTGAGATAGGAATTACAAGGTTGAAATCCTGTATTTAAATCCGAAATTTTCTGTTGTATGAAATTTCAATTTAGATTGTCACTCGCATCGCTAAGACGAATCCAACGACACTTCATATGTGAAAATCTATCAAGCCGTTTGAGCTGTAGCCTATGAAATATGAATTAAAAGGTTGAAATCCTTTATTAAAATCCGCCATTGTGTTTTGTATAAAATTTTAATGTATCTAGTGTCACTCGCTTCGCTAAGACGAATCCAACGACACTTCATATGTGAATATCCGTCCAGCCGTTTGGCCTGTAGGTGAAAATATGCACATTTTCCATATACAAATGATAACCACTCTCCGTGTGACGTCATGCGCGCCGGCGAAAATCGAACAGCTGAGCATCCGGCACTGGGGTATAGCTGTTACCGTACAAACCCGAAAGACATCGATTCGACTTACACTTCTTGGTGCAACTACACTTAAAGAAACCTTGGCCTGTTCCAACTGAATGTTTTATCGCTGCGGTTCTCAACGAAATTTCATTGTTCTTGTTTACTTCTTCTTCCAATAAAAACCTTTGTGTGCAGATATCAAATTCATTTCTGAAATGAAAATATTCAATTTAAATCAAATAAAAACCGTAGCAAAATGAATAATTACCTGCAATATAATTTTGTAAGATACCATGTTGGGTCCTAATCTTATAAAATCCGCCATCAGATGCTTCAAGCACAACTCCAATAACGTTCCGAAGATCTCCTTTAGCCCTGTCTACATCAGGAGTAGGTATGATGATGTTATCTCCAACTTTCGCTGGTGGATGCACCTTGTGAGAGATTGCTTTCATCTTTTTGGCTTGTTTTTCAAGGCTCTGCACAACCTTTGATCGTGCTTCTAAAATATTTTGTGAGGTTTCATCCATGTCATCGTCTCCATTCCTATCTTCGTCTCCATTCTTATCTTCGTCTCCATCCGTATCTTCGTATCCATAACTGCCTCCATTTTTGTGTCCATCTATGTTTTTCCCATCAATCAGTTTTTGAAGATCGTCTTCGTCTTCAATGTCCTTTAGCAGTTCCGAAGGTAATGAACTAGTAGAGAGGCCAACCTTGGGTTCCGCACCAAACATGGCCTTATAAGGCGATTGTTTAATTCCAGAATGATATGCCCGATTTTTCATAAACTGTATGTACCTTAGTCCTTCTGACCATTTAGTTGTCTCGCTGTCATTCATCCAAGCACTCAGCATGTTTTCAATATCTTGGTTTGCTCTTTCGACTGATCCCTGACTTTGACTATGTCGTGGTTTTCCATGCACGATTTTGAGCTCTGGCCATAAGCTTGTCACTTCTAAAATTACACGATTCACAAATTCTCGGCCATTGTCAGATTGTAGAATGCATGGGGCCCCGAAAGTTAAAAACATATCATTTAAATGGTAGGCTACCTCTTCTGCTCTCTTACTTTCCAATGGACGAAGCAGGACAAATTTTGTTAGGTGGTCCTGATACACCAACATAAATTTAAACTTTCCATCTGGTTGTGGAAGTCAATAAGATCGACTTGGCATCGGCTATTCATTTCGGTGTGCAAAATCGGTTTGGAGACTAATCCTTTCTTTTTTTTCGTCTTTTTTTGTTGACAGACTATGCACATAGATAAAAAAGACATATCATTTCTTTTGTGATATTCGCAAACTTTTTAGAAGTTTCAGCCAACATTCTGTCACGACCACCATGTCCCACTGCTATGTGAGCTGCATCAATAACGTCATATAACTCATCAGCGGTGAGATAATACTTTATATTATTTGTATTTCCTCAATTTCGTGAGGTAAGTTTCTTTACACCTCCGATTTCCACCACATCAAATCTTTTCAGTCTTCTTTGTTGCAAGGGTGATTTACTTTCCGTTTTTTTAGCCTCTTCCACTTGTTGGATAAGTGCCAAATACTTTTCCTTTGTCAAAACATTAAAATGAGTTGATTTTTCGTCCTCAGATCTTAAAACCTCTACCAAGAATCTCTGCGTCCACTCTTTTTGACCTACGTGCCCACTTGATGAAGCCTCATCCGTGTTATTGAGATACAGAAATACTCTGCGAACTTTAGATACATAAACAATCACGAAATGTTTCAGAATGTTTAGCTTATGGACAACACGCACAATACGCAACGATTTTGCAATAAGACGAACGCTCCATAACAGTCAACGTACGCGTGCAAACTAAATCCTTGCGATCGGCGCCGGCGACCCAAACCAATGTTCAGACGAGTTCAGACTAGTTAAATCGCGGGTCGAAATAGTTTAGACTAGGACAAATCAGTTTTTCCTAATCATAATTAACTTATTTCAGGAAAAACCGGTCTAGGCTAGGATAAACTAGTTCATCCTATCGCTCTTCGGATAAACTGGTTTGGCCTAGGAAAAACTAGTTTATCCTAAAATCGGGTTTGTCCGGTAACATAGCCATACCAGACGCGTCAGATCGCTGACCAATGGTTTGTAGAAGCAGGTAACCCTGTAACTGTAGCAGAGACCGGCAACATTGGGAGGCAGAATGGCATAATGTCATCTTAGCAACGAATCGCGATTCTGTTTGGGTACGCACGATGGTCATAGATGGGTAAGACGCCGCCATGGAGAACGGCGTGCTATTGGATTTGCTGTTGAGAGGCATGTACACAGGACTGTTGGAGTAACAGTTTGGGAGGCTATTGTCTATGATAGCCGATCACCGCCCCCCCCCGCTCTTTGTTCAAGGCAATATGGCTGATGGCCGTTATGTTGATGAAATTCTGGCTTTCATTGCTCGTCTGTTTTTTTTTTCTTTTCTATACCACTTTCCCTTTTCCTGGGAATTGTCGGGTTGATGGTCAATTAGGATTGATAAATTCGTCTTATGTACATTAGACGCTGAAAAATGGGCAGAGGTCCTACGAACTACCCAGTTAAACAAACGACGAATAATATTAGAATTGCCATTTAGTGTTTCCTGTCTTCAGCACCCTGCGAATCTGGATTCAATCCACAAACGTGTGTCGTAAGAGCTCCCCAGTTGACCTGAGGAAATAACTCTCCCTATAGCTTTTCAAGAGGAAACAATCTTAGAAAATATTAGCTATTTAGAAACAACAGTTCAAAATAATTGTCTTTTCGTATAATCTTCGTCATAGCATGTGCGATATCTAACACCACAAAACCTCTTACGTCTCCAATACATCATTCTTTCTAGCATGCACATAAACTAGCCTGTACCTTTGAGTTCGCACAGATCGCGATATGAAGTGTTCGCATGTTTCAAGGGTCTTATCGTACTCGCAAGAGAAGAAGAAAATACGTGGTCATGTAGATGCCTAGTGGATAGGGGGACTAGCGTCGGCGACGTGTGGAGCTATCGGGTTGCTCGGCGATATTTTACTATTAACTCATCAAACGGATAGGATTACAATTAATTGCTAGGCGACTTATCATCAAGCTATTCACATTTAGATTATTTATGTTTGGTAGATAGGTACGTGCGGTATGGTTGGAAGGTGTGGGTAGAGAGTGCAGTGTGTATTTATAGTCTTATCCAAAAGTAATAGTTGTGCAAAGATGTACGTTTCTGCCTCGCACACCAAAAGGGACATATATTAACAAGACGCCGAGCTACCTAAAAAATGTATTTGATCAAATGGATTGGGCTGGAATAATAATAATAATAATAATAATAATAATAATATTTATTTACTCTAAAATACAGGGAATATGAAACGAGTAAATAAATATAATATATCCATAGGAGGACAACGCCTGTGCATGGATCATATGTATGTTGAATTGCAAAATATAATAAAATAGAGAGAAAAAAGAAATTATTGGTAAGAATGGTAGAGCATTTATTGTGTAATATTTGAGATTATTTTATTAATTTGATTTCTCCCAATCGTGTTAATAAATTTTTTTAATTTTTTTTTGAAGCCTAATGTATTGCGTAATTGTTTTAAATTATTTGGTAAATGTTCGTACAATTTTGGAGCTATATACAGGTGACATCGTTTCATTAGGGATTTGTTTGGTTTAGGAACATTTTTTGCGCGTAATTTATATCTGGTTTTATGATTATGTTTATACACTTAATACTTTAATGTATACGTTACGGTCACATCCAACGACTTCAGACTAGAAAGAAGGGGCGAGTCAAGGATCTATTTGTCTCCTTATTGCCATAGTCTGTAGTGAGGATCAAAGTGCACTTGACATAAGTCGATTTCTTGGCAGTTCTGTCATTAAATTCGTATATTTAGTATTATTTTTTATCAGTGCGAGTGTTCGCAGATCATTGTCGTGTTAGACGATTTCAAGGCATGATACTTCTTAAATAACTTGCAAAGAGCGGCACAAGCCTAATGCAGATACATGACTCCAGAGGTACAAGTACTATTATTACCTTGATACAATGCTGTAACTTTGGTAGGCATTAGTAGACAAGTGTACCTCAGAGCTAGGCAAAGTTAAGTCCAAATCAGTAGTTTTGCGATAATTGTATTTGAAATATTGTTTATGCATTGTATTGACTTGACAATGAGTTCAGTGAGTTAAAAAATCGTAACTTCCTTATTATTACAGTATATTCAGATAAGAGATAGACCGGACATAAACAAGACCACGTGATCATCGAACGCTGTAACATTCGGCAGGGACGTATTAAGAGTCACGCAGTACATATTTTAGATAGTAGATGCTGCTTTGCGTAACTTTGTAGTAAATTAGCACAATTCGATGTGTATACGATTGGTGATGGATATAGGATCATGTGGGGGTGGGGTAAGAAATATATAATGATGTAAATATACATAAGGGTTTCAAAATTTTCGCTTCGATTTCCAGCTTCGGATGCCGCCTGATGTTTGGTGAAATACAGTCGAATATAATCTCAAAATGGCGTTTAAATTAGCCTAAATTAAAAATAATCGTATATCTCTTAAAATTGCTTTTAGAATATTGATTAGAGTATTTTTTGATTTCTAGGTAAATATGTAACCAAATTAAAACGTTCAAAACGTAAAAAAATGTGCATGGTTGAACATTGTCAGAAAGTAGATTCTTGAATAGGTTTTGCCAAAATGGGTTCAAAAATGTCAATAATTAATTAAAAAATACAGTAGCTTTATAATTACTTATAACTTACCGAATTTGATGAACGACATCTTTTATTGGAAAGATGAGCTTGATGAGCTTTCATCATCGCTACTGCCTGAAGCACCAACGTCAATCATGAATGGCTCGACTTGTTCCTCTAAAATATTGTCCAGTTCCCACATTCTCTTTTCAACTTTGTCTTTCACGTGCTTAATACAGTTTTCCCATTTTTGCTCTGTTATTAATTCTAGTGCTTCTTTGAAAAGTCCTTTGAGGTCACAAAATTTAAAAGTTGTATTGTGCTTAGCTATATAATGTTTAACCTCTGCCCATATGAGCTCAATGGGATTGAGCTCGCAATGGTATGGAGGTAAACGGAGCACAGTTTTATTTTGACTTGCTGCCATTTCGTCAATGGCGTATTTTTGATATTCCGCCTTGTGATCCTTGACAATTCTTAATAATTGTACTTTCGGCATTGCTTCTTCAAAGTTGATATTTTTCGAGCGGAGCCAATTTTGAACATCAACTTTCCTTGAAGCCGTTGTTGGGACCTTCTCCATTCTTCGAGAATGATAAGGCGCATTATCCAACACAATTGCTGCGTTTTCCTCTAAGTTCGGTAAAATTTTTGAAAACCACTGTTCAAACGATTCGCCATTCATTTCCTCGTGGTAATCTCCAGTTTTCTTAGACTCAAAGCACCACAGACCGTCAGCAACAAATCCATCCTCACTGCCAATATGGCAGATAAGGAGCCTTGTCCCTTTACCTGGAAATCGAAGTACTAACTGGTGTAGATTTATTTCAATAAGCGAACCTTTTTCAAATGT